GGCCCAACTGGCCTTCAGATTATGTGAGGTTTTCCTTGGGAATCCTAGATGTCAAGGAAGTCTTGTCCCAGGTGTCTCCTGAGGCTGGCTGGCTTTTAAATAGAGGGATGTCTACAAGACTAATGTGAGAGAGTGGCTGCCGGATGATTCTAGAAAAGATAAACTTTCAAATGAAGCAAGATTATGATGCCCAGTGCCCTGTTCATTCCTGCAACTCCCAAAACCTGTCAGCCACACCTGCATAGATTACAGGACCCTAAAGAGGAAAAATTCCTCTTGGCCAGGACCTCTGGGACACATCAGTGGCCACAAATTGGCCTGCCCCAGGCTAGACAAAACCTGATGGTTTATCAAGCATTCCCACTGTTCAACTCTGGGCTGCAATTAAAAGAAAGTCCACTTTTACTGGCTAAGTACAAAGCAATAAAGTATTGGCTTTATGCAAAGTCCCTAACCTGGCCCCCATCAGGGTTGAACAGGGGGGCTCAAGTATCAGAAGCTGCCTCTGGGCTCCTGCACCTCCCCTTTCCCCTCAAGGGTTCCCTTCACCAAGAAAGTTCACTCTGGGTGGCAAGATGGCCTCCAGGCTCAGGAGACTTTCTTTTAGCCTAGCAACCACACTGACCTTTCATTGGTCCACGTTGTAGCATGTGCCTAACACTGAACCAATCATGTGGTCAAGAATATAGTGCTCTGATTGGTCAGCGTCTTTCCCCTCTGGTGAATCTAAGAAAATGCAGGTCAGTAACAAGAAAGGGAGCAACTTAGCCCAGCACCACTGCTGAGAAAGCCGCATCTCTCTTACCGTTTGAATCCACCAGCGTTTCTGTAGCAAAAAGATGGGCAGTCTTCTCCCATGCTGTTTACAGCCTATAAAAACCTGCTAGAGGTTTTAGCCGTGTTTCCACTACATGGCAACGAGTTTGAGTTTGGGGGGGGGTCTGATACCAACCTCTGTGAGGATTTGTGCTATTAACTCAAAGGCAGTGCCTCTTTGGGGGTTCAAATCCGTTAGCAGCTCTGCGGGAGAAAGACGGGAGATGCTAGGTTCTTGCGGTTGTGCTTATTTCCAGTTGTTGTTATGTGCTATCAAGTAAACTAGGACTCATGGAGACCATATGCACAATAGCTCTGAACCCTGCTCTATCCCAAGCCAGTCTCTCTGTCTCTGACACAACTACCCTCATTAACCCAGTTATTGTGTCAATCCATCACATCCGGGGTCTTCCTCTCCTCCTCCCTTCCAAGCATGATATCCTTCTCCAAAGACTGGCTCCTCCTGGCCACATACATGACCTAAGTACGTGAGACAAGAGTCTCAAAATCTTTGCCTCCAAGGAGCAGCTTCGTTTCACCCTCTCCAAGGACAGACCTGTTAGTTTTCTTGGCAGTCCATGGTATATTTCATACTCTTCTCCAGTACCAGAACTCAAAGACATAAATTCCTCTTCTGTCATCCTTAGTCATTGTCCAGCTCTCTGATGCATAGCAAATAATTACAAAGACCATGATCTGGGTCAGGCACACGTTACTCTCTAGGCTGACATCCTTGCTCTTCAGCACTCTAGAGATGTTCCTGACAGCAGATTTTCCTAATGCAATTTGTTTTTTGATTCCCAGACTGCTCATGCCAAGAGTGTCGACTGTGGAACTGAGCAAGCTGAAATTATCAACAATCTCAGTCTCAGTTCTCTGTCAATCACGATGCTGCCATAATAGATATCATCAGTGTATGACAGCACAATGATGGCAGCCGATGTTTATGGATGCTGTGGTCAAGGCTGCAAGGAACAGATTTGAAGGCATTTCAAGTAATGGGGGGAGAGCTGGGAATCTTCACTTTTCTTAAGATTGTGCTTCAAACCATATTGCAAACTAAAGTCTTTGACCCTCCATAGCAAATACAACAGGTTCTCCTCAATTTCTGCAAGCCCAGAAAGGTTAAAATTGAAGCTGGGGATATGGTGATCAGGTTTCAGAACAAATCATTGCCCCTATAGCCTTGGCTGAGAAGATGCCCACTCATTCTCACCCCCAGTTTGCTGCCTCCCCCCACTACTTCACACATCTTCAAATCGGTCCCTTGCAACCTTGACCACAATATCCATAAACACTGGACCAACCACCCAGTGGTTTGCCAAATTCCAGCGACAATTGTCCAGTACCTGTCTTCCCCACTAATGCAGGCAGAGGATGTTTCTTTCAGTCATTCATATGATTTAAGGCTCATCCATTCTCCAAACTCTGCTAAGAGTTGGGAGACAAGACAGACAAGGTTGGAAGACTGACAAGGATCCCAGAAAATAGCCCCTGTCTAGGACCACAGCAGGGCAACAAGATGGAGGAACTTCCTTGGGAATAGGATACTTTCCACCAAGTGGTCAATGCACAAGACACAACCTTACTCAAAACAGAAGGACTTGAAGCGTTTGCTGCAAAAGGTCAAATACTGCAGTCTTCAATATGAATTGCATTTCAACATCAAGAAAACAAAGATTCTCACCACCTGGCCAATTGGCAACATCATGATAGATGAAAAAGAGACTGAAATTGTTAACAATTTCGTCTTGCTTGGGTTCACAATCAATACACTTGGTACCAGCATTCAGGAAATCAAAAGACAAATTGCTCTGGGGAAATCTGTTGTAAGCGACCACTTCAGAGTGTTAATGAGCAATGATGTCAGTCTGAAGACTAAGGTGTGCCCAATCCAAGCTATGTTTTTCATAATTCCATGCTATACATCCGAGAGCTAGACAGTGACTAAAAAGGTAACAGAAGAATCGATGCCTTTGAGCTATGGTGCTGGAGAAGAATATCAAACTACCATGCCAAAGGAACAGGTCCATCCTAGAGAGGGTAAAACCAGGCTGCTCCTTGGAGGCAAGGATTGTGAAGCTGTCTCACATACTTTGGGCTTGTTGCTGGAGGGACTAGTCCTTGGAGAAGGACATCATGCTTGGAAGAGTGAAGAGACAACTGCAGGTGAGGAAGACCCTGGATGAGATGAATTGACACAGTAACTATAGCAATGGGGGCCGGTGTGTCAGACAGTAAGATTGGCTCAAGATAGGGTAGGGTTCATAGGTATTGTACATCGTGTCGCTGTGAAAGCACATAACAATGGGTGGTGGGTGGAGGGGGGAGTGGGTGAGGTCTAAGTAGCATAAATGATCCAGAAGAGAAGACAAAGTTCAAAAGGCCAAGGTTAGAAAAGGCAACCAGGTAAACTGCGAGGAGAGGGTTGAAGAGGTTTAAGGGGAAGAAAATGAGCAGCCCATGTGGGAAATTGTAGGCCAGGGTAGGAAGTGTGGATTTGATACTAAGATTGCTGTAATCCTAAAGGTCTTTCAGTGCTCCAGGAAGGGCTTGTGTAGGAGGCACACTTCATGGAAGACCCCACTGAAGGCACTCGAATGTTTCATTGAATGAATTGGACGTATACATTAGATGAGCGGAGGAGACTGCATGCGGGGAGGACAGCTGATGCACCGGGGACCGCAGACCCCACGGCCACCAAACGCACTCCGTGACCTTGGGCCAGTCCTGCCCCGACCCCGGGCCCGGAACCTGGCCTGCGTCTCCAGGGCGGGGAGGACGTGCCTGGGAGGGCAGAATGCGCGCGCGCACGCGAGACGGGCCGACCGCCGGAGGGTCCCCGGGGGCCAGCTCCCGGCCGCAGCAGTCCGTCCTGACCCTCGGCTCAGCCCCCGCCGGGCCTCAGCGCCTGTCCGAGCCCTCGCCGCCCGCCGTGTTTACATCCCACCCGCCACGACCA